CAGAGAGAGGAGACCGCAGTCAGGGAACTGCAGAAGGACCTCGAGGAGACTAGGAAACAATTTGCAGAAGAGAGGTTGGCTACCAGTCTCCGTTGTTTTCTTTCTTCCCAGTTAAAAGACAACGCTGAGTTAGAGGTTTCGCAAACCTGTCATACACAGAGCCCTTGACAAAGTAGCTAACTGAACAATTAGCCATGATAGTAGGCTCTTCAACTCCAAGCTTTCTAAGACGTTTAACGACATGTACTAAAAAGCAGGACTGGAGTCACTCTGATCAAGTTGATAAGGTTTCAATTAAATTATGCTGAAATTTCGTGGAAAAAAGGAGATTTACTAGGCGGTTGCTATGACGCTGCAGTCAGGCCATAAATTAAAGATATTCTGACACGTGCATTTAAAAAGTAGGTATATAGTAGTATAGGAAAACAAGTACAGATGTTATTTATCACTTCTTGACAACAAGACACATAAAGATGACTTATATGGCCACTTAAGCAGGACATTAGAACTGGAAACACCTAGAATACTGGCGTCTTTGCGCCAAACTCCAGGGAAAATAGAGTACTGTTGAGATTAGGTTTAAGATAAGGTTTAAGTTTAGTATGAAGTACGCTAAGGGTTAGAGTTAACTCTAGTGGTAGATCAGGGCTACTGTGGTGACCTATGGTAGGATTAATGCTAGGATTAGGACGCGGGAATATTTACCCTTCCCGAAATTACGCGGAGCACCACATGGGTTGCTTGCTTTGGTGGCCAAATACACAATCCTTTCCACAGAACAAAACAAATGGTAGTAATTTGAACCTCAGTGTCTTACTTGGGGATTAGTTTTTCGACTATTTTCACGAGTTACCAAAATGCACGCCAAACGACCATGCAAACTGAACAGGAAACTAGTCAAAATGTTGATATTGGCAGCACTGGTAGGAGTCCCAATTGTCTTAAGATTAGAAATAGGACAAATATCGTAATCTATTATACTTTAATATTAATGTGATAATTTGTGCGTTTTTTTTGGGCTGCAGACAGAAAATCGTAATCTCATCTAGGAATGGTGTTCTATTGAGCGCCTGTTAGCCTTATTCAGCCTATTCAGTCAATCCACTTAATAAGTGGTAATGCAGTGCAAGGATTCAGTTGACCCCTAACATACACAGGGTTCTCTAAAATCCTACACCTCCAAACTTATCAATTCTGACACATCCGGCTCCGGCGTCACACGTTAGTTGACACCCAGGCACGCCCAGTTAATAGCGGTGCGATTTTTACCGGGTTATTTTGACAAGTCGGAAAATATTAAATGAGGTAGAAATGCACAATCCGTTTACGGTCGTTCCTGTCATCCTGTTTCCTGTACTTCTTGCTCAGGTTCATGCTGTGAAACTGGGTGGGCTTACGGACCCGATCAGCAAAAAGTTTGAAGTCATGTTGTCTGAAAAACCGGCCTTTAAATTGACCTCATTTTTTATTCCCTTATTGCACTGAAGTGTAAAACAGGGCCTAAAATTCGTGTAACATGCCGACATTTGCAAAAGATTGATACTCTTTCGCTAATAGGTGATAATACTAATTATCGTGTGGCTAATTCTTAATTCATTTCAGTCACGATAAGATGCCGGCTTTTTAAGGAGCTTCGTTCTGACCGCCAACAAAACTCATGTACTGTAAAGAGTGGCTACTTATTTAGTATGCACTGTTGTCATTGATTTTGACTGCTCTTATAAATTCTAGATGTCCTTGTACGTTGAACTACTGATGAATCACTCCGTACATCTGTTTAACCTAAAGAAACATATTCATATTCATATTGTGAAACCGGGTGGGCTTAGGAACCCAGTCAGGAGGTAATTTGAAGTGATGTTGCCTGAAGAACTGGTCTTTTAATTGAGCTCATTTTTTATTCCGTTATTGCTTCGAAGTATAGGCCCTGGAACCATTGTGCACGTGGACATTACACTAGCAGCAATAGTTATAAAAGTGCGATTCCCAGGTGGTAAGTCAGGCGGAGGAAGAGCGGTCACTTGGAGATATTTACTTGATGTTTGACGTTTTGGGTGGTTGTGGCCTCCGCCTGGCTTCAGGACCTGAACAGTCAGGTTTAGGGTCCTCCTTACATACCACTCTCTTTCGTGTGCATAGTTTGCCAATACCGATTGAGCCGCTACTAAAAGTAGGGCCCAAAACTCGTGTAACATGCCGACACATGCGAAAGATTGATACTCTCTCGCTAATCGGCATTGAGTAAGGTTGTAATACTGATTATCGTGTAGCCTATTCTGAAGTCATTTCAGTCACGATAGGATGCCGGCTTTTTAACGAGCCTCTTTCGGACCACTAACAAAACGCATGTACTGAAAAAAATGGCTATTTAAGTAGTATGTATTTTTATCCTTGATTTTGACTGCCTTTATAAGTTCAAATGTATTTTATGGAAAACATAGACGAAAAAATATTTTTCATATTCGTTTGGTAGCAACTTATGCCTTCTTTAAATGTTATACTAAAAGAAAGGGTATCCTTGGACTTTAAAAAGCTTTCTAAATTGCCAAATAATTTTTAAACCTACTGACTGCTACATTTGAATTCAAGGTTTACAAAATGCGCACTGTGTGCATCCTGTTTAAGGAAAAATACGTTTTCGCCTACGCTGTATACATTATAGGCAACATTAATAAATTGACGGTTGTGATGTATAATGAGTGAACACTTCACAATCGTAAAAAAGCTCATAATTACAAACTTTTTAGACCGAAAGAAATCCTTTCTTCAAGTATAAAATTTTAAAAAAGGCGTAATTTGCTACCAAACGAGTACAAGGAATACTTTTTTCGTCTTTACTTTCCATACAATATATCTGAATTTATAAAGGCAGACAGACTCAATGATAAAAATGCACACTACATAAATGGCCACTTTTTACAGTACATGCGTTTTTTTGGCGGTCAGAAAGAAGCTCGTTAAGCAGCCGGCATCCTATCGTGACTGAAATGACTTCAGAATAGGCTACACGATAATTAGTATTACTACCTTAATGCCGATTAGCGAGAGAGTATCAATCTTTCGCATATGTCGGCACGTTACACAAATTTTAGGCCGTGCTGTATGTTTCGCACCTCACCGTCACGTGTGATGGCACAGCCGTGTTGTACGAACCCTCTCACTAGGGGACAATCACTGGGTGTGAAACCAACGGGGCCGCCAACTTCATCTGCGGTCACCGTTACGACAGACGGCTAAAGAGCGGGGGGGTTCAAACCACCAATGGCGACACA